GCCATTGTCGCGCTGATCCCGGGCTCTGCTGTGCCCGGTGCGAGCCCGGGATCAGCAGGTCGCCTGTGTCACAGGGGATCAGAGGGAGCTCGGTAGACGAGCTCCCTCCGGTCCCCTCTCCTCTGCAAGAATGCGGAAGTGTTGTATAATACATCATTATACAACATGATCTGTGCTTTATCAGCTTCTTTTGGGGGGTCCTAGTTGACATTAGGGGTCTTGGAGACCCCTGATGTCTCCATAAAGAGGACCTGTCACATATTTTGCTATCACATAGGTGGTTTTTATTAGCCCCGCATGTGATAGCAATAAAGTTTAGTTAAAAAAAAAAGGAAAAAAACATTTAAGCTCCCCCCCCCAAAAAAAATGTAAAGTTACACATAAAAAAGAATAAAAAAATACAAAAAAATGTAAGTGCCCACCCATACATACACGCACGCAAACATGCGTCCGGGGCGCATACGTGCAAAAACGACGATTGCGCCCATTACGCCGCACATGTTACATATCGCCGCGAAAGTCGCAGTGAGAGCAATAAGTCTAGGGCCCTCAATCACTGATAACACTAAACTGATGAGCGGTAAAAGATTTTAAAGTTGTCGCCTATGGCCAATTTTGGGTATGGTAGTTTTCTGCGATTTCGTGGGTGCGCACAATTTTAAAGCTTGACATGTTTGGTGTCTATTTATCCGACGTGACCCGACTTTTATATTTTACCAAAAAACTGGGTAATAATAAATGTTTCCTAACATAATCTAAAAAAAAACTTTTTTTTTTCAAAATGTTCTTTAATTTTTCCTAATTATAGTAAAAAATAAAAACCCCAGTGGTGATTAAATACTACCAAAATAAAGCTCTATCTGTCTCCAAAAAATGGTATAAAATTCATTTCAGTACAGTGTTGCATGACGGAATAAACTTCAGTCAAAGTACTGCAGCGCTGAACACTGAAAAATGGCCTGGCCAGGAAGGGGGTCTAAACACCTGGTCTTGAAGTGGTTAAACAATGAACTGAAAATGTTCTCCTTTCTCTCCCCATACCTTTATTATTGGTGTAGTGGTTTTCAGGACAAGCAACACATTCATAACAACACGTGTGTTGACTCGCTGATGTTTTTTTCATTTGCCCTGGTTTACATTCATCTGAACATCGGGAACGGATTTCCTGTAATGCCAAAGAGTGTTTTGTAAAGAAGCATTGAGTCAAGGTGAAATAATAATACAGCATGGAAATGTTATTTTTTACCAGCCATGGGAAAAATAAGTAGCAGTGAGTGCTTGATCATGTGCCCTTTCCCTCTACCTTCTCATAAGTGCCTCTCTGATAGTCATGCAGAGGGCCCTTACTCCCTACCTCTGTGGCTGCAATACATGTGTAAGGGAAACAATTCTACTCCACTTAACTCTGCAGAGTGGCAATGGGTGCCAGAGCCTGACAGCAATGACTTTCAGCTCCTGGCACAGAATATAAATGGAATGATTTGGGAAAGGAAGTGACGTGGAGGAAGTAGGCAGATCTTCTGTGTGCTGGAATGCTACATGCTGCTAGTATTAGGATGTATGATACAGTGTGTATTGGGGTGAAGGGAGGGGGGGGGG